GAACAGGAAAAGGAAGATGATAAAGGCAAGGACAAGGACAAGGAGGAGGAGGAGGAAGAGGATGAGGAGAAGGAGGACGACGAGGACGAGGACAGAGCCCTCAAAGTCGCCTCTTGGAGCCCTCTTGAGACTCTTTAGGGGGATCGTGGGGTCCTCTTGGGACTTTTTGGAGGGTCTTGGGGCTTCGGGGCCTGTTGGGAGCCCTGGAGGGCCTCTTCGTGCTATCGTGGAGGGCGTCGGTGAAAAGAGAGAGGTCAGGTCCTAACGTTTGGTCTCCCTTGTGGGGCCCTCAAAATTGCGCCTTGGGGCGTTCCTGGGGTAATCTTGGGGCGATCTTGGGCACTCGTGGGGCCGTATTGCGAAGGCCTGACGGCCGGTGCCGCCGACCCTGTTCGCAATGCGCAGCAAGAGATTACGAGGTTGCTCAAGGTCGGCTTGGCTGGAGCCCAGGGGAAGAGGAGTCCCAGGGGGGGGCGTCGTATCTGACCCGGGGGGGGGGTCGCTACCCCCCCCCCCCTCCCGGCGGGGGAGGGATCAAAGGGAAGGGGCTTCCCTTCGACTCAATTACGAGGTTGCTCAAGGTCGGCTTGGCTGGAGCCCAGGGGAAGAGGAGTCCCAGGGGGGGGCGTCGTATCTGACCCGGGGGGGGGGTCGACACCCCCCCCCCCCCTCCCGGCGGGGGAGGGATCAAAGGGAAGGGGCTTCCCTTCGACTCAATTACGAGGTTGCTCAAGGTCGGCTTGGCTGGAGCCCAGGGGAAGAGGAGTCCCAGGGGGGGGCGTCGTATCTGACCCGGGGGGGGGGTCGACACCCCCCCCCCCTCCCGGCGGGGGAGGGATCAAAGGGAAGGGGCTTCCCTTCGACTCAATTACGAGGTTGCTCAAGGTCGGCTTGGCTGGAGCCCAGGGGAAGAGGTCTCCCAGGGAAAGGGAAGGACAGAGACGACGAGTACAAAGAATGACGGAGATGACGGCTCGAACGCAAAAGCCCCTCACACACGCCGACAGGGGCTTCCCTTCGACTCAATTACGAGGTTGCTCAAGGTCGGCTTGGCTGGAGCCCAGGGGAAGAGGAGTCCCAGGGGGGGGCGTCGTATCTGACCCGGGGGGGGGGTCGACACCCCCCCCCCCCTCCCGGCGGGGGAGGGATCAAAGGGAAGGGGCTTCCCTTCGACTCAATTACGAGGTTGCTCAAGGTCGGCTTGGCTGGAGCCCAGGGGAAGAGGAGTCCCAGGGGGGGGCGTCGTATCTGACCCGGGGGGGGGGTCGACACCCCCCCCCCCACCCGGCGGGGAGGGATCAAAGGAAGGGGCTTCCCTTCGACTAATTACGAGGTTGCTCACTGGGCGGGGGAGGGATCAGGGGGGGGGGCGTCGTATCTGCCCCGGGGGGGGTCGCCCCCCCCCCCCCCTCCCGGCGGGGGAGGGATCAAAGGGAAGGGGCTTCCCTTCGACTCAATTACGAGGTTGCTCAAGGTCGGCTTGGCTGGAGCCCAGGGGAAGAGGAGTCCCAGGGGGGGGCGTCGTATCTGACCCGGGGGGGGGGTCGACCCCCCCTCCCCCCCCTCCCGGCGGGGGAGGGATCAAAGGGAAGGGGCTTCCCTTCGACTCAATTACGAGGTTGCTCAAGGTCGGCTTGGCTGGAGCCCAGGGGAAGAGGAGTCCCAGGGGGGGGCGTCGTATCTGACCCGGGGGGGGGTCGACACCCCCCCCCCCCTCCCGGCGGGGGAGGGATCCAAGGGAAGGGGCTTCCCTTCGACTCAATTACGAGGTTGCTCAAGGTCGGCTTGGCTGGAGCCCAGGGGAAGAGGTCTCCCAGGGAAAGGGAAGGACAGAGACGACGAGTACAAAGAATGACGGAGATGACGGCTCGAACGGAAAAGCCCCTCACACACGCCGACAGGGTCGGCGGATTTGCGGCCTCTTGGGCCCTTGTTGGGGCTTTCTTGGGCCATTTTGGGGCCATCCTCAGGCCTCAAAAGCACATCGGAAACGAAAAGGTGAGAAGACCAAAATCATTGATGTCCTACAGGTCGTTGAATGAGTTTGGCCTCTTGAGGGGATCTTGAAGGGGGCTCCGAGAGCACTTGGAGCCATCTTGCGGCCCTCGTCGGCCCGCTTGGACGCATGTCGGAGGCTCTCCTGAAACATCCGCGGCTGCCTTGAGCCGCCCCAGAGGCCATCTTGGAGCATGGAGGCCCTCGTGGAGCCATGTTGGGCGAAAACAAGATCCCCTGACACATTGCGAACCCACCCAACGACAACCGGGGAGGGGAGGGGGAGGGCACCCCTCCCCGAAGGGAACATGGGTTTTGCAGGATCGCTAGACCACCTCGGCCCAAAGCTCTGGTGGGATAAGAAGACGCAGAAGAAGAGGAGAAACGCTACGACCAAAACAACGCTCCGCCCTTGCGTTCAGCCAAGTTGTTTGTGGCTTCTCCTGGGAACTTCTGCCTCGGAACTGTCGTCGTGGTGCTGACCCCTGAGCTTTTCCAGGCCCCTTGTGGGGCCTTCTCGACCGTCGAGCCCCAATGGGCTCGGCGCTCGCTGGGCAGCGCGGGCATTGGCCCTTCCTTGTTGGACAGCCGATCCGATCTTGGATCGGCGCTTGGGCCCCCTCGGGCGGCGCCCCGGCTGCCGAGGGACGCAGGAGCGGCAAGTCGCGGCGACGGCGGCGGCGGCGCCTCTGGCGGTTGGGACCGGCCGCGGCGGGATGGGTGGCCCAGCGGCCAGTATGCCGTCGAAGAAGCGCAAACACGAGTCAGCAACGCGCGGATGACAACGACGGGTCCTGTTTCCGCACAGGATCGGCGCGTTCCGTTATCAGCTCGGGCGGCAGTGGCCTCACGTTTCGGGGTGTGGCTTCCCCGATCCGTGGATCTGGCGCCCACGTGCCAGAACCACGGATCCCGAAACCATGCTACGGTCGGGGAATTTGTGTCCAGCATGGCGCGCCGCCATTTCTGGCCCACCACGCGTCGGCGCGACACGCGAACCAGTTCCAGGTCCCAAGCTCAGAGAAGAAGTATGGATTGTCGCCATCGAGAACCTCTCGGTGGGGGACCGACCCCTGGGCAGTGGCACGCGTGAGCGTCGTCATGTACTGACTGACGCTCGGGCCTGCCACCGCCGAGGAGTCGGGCTCTCACCGATAGGTTCTCGGTGGTGGTGGTGGTCCTGATCCTCGATTCTCTTCTGGCAAGCATCAACGTCCCGAGCCTTGCGCAGCTTCCCGCCCCGCGGAGCGGAGCGACGCGCTATCCTCTTACAGGGCATGGCGTGTCGCCGGGGCTACCGCCGCGGCGCGATTGAAGCAAATTTTCCCGCGACCGCAGCTTGCGCCCGATTCCCGCGGCCCTCCTGGGTCGTCCGCGAAGGATGCCCACGATCGATCGGCCCGTCAGCCGGGGCTCGGTCGGGGATCGAGGCTCGAGGGTCGATCGTGCGTCGAGGGTCGAACAACGATCGAGGTCCGATGCTCCGTCGTGTCGAGGATCAGCCCGTGGCCCCGCGGCCCTGCCGGGCCGTCCGCGGAGGAGCTGGAGTACGAGGACGACGTGACGGTGGAGGCCTACACGCAGGCGGGAGGGCCCGGGAGACCTTGGAGACATTTTGTTGTTTCACAGCGGGCGTTGGTTTTTCCCGGCTGCGGGCCCCGGGACGGTCACACATCGATCGGGCTCGAAAAGCGGTACAGAAAGATCGGGTTTCTGGCTCCAGCCGTGTCCCCTTCGATCTTTTCCATTTCTCGCGCCATTGGATCTCAGGGGAGGACGACGAGGACGAGGGCGACGAGGATGATGAGGGAACAGAGGGGGGGAGCACCCGTGCGAGCGGAAAATCCGACTCGGGTGAGCTGGCCTGAAGGCTTCACGGTGCATCGGCAGCTGAAGCCGATGCCAAAGTTGAAGTGTTCTGTGAATGGTTCCCAAGACATCGTAGGTCGCCAAGATATCTGAAACAAACTGAAATACTCTGAACGAGAGGGAAAGATAGCAGACACCTTTTCAGTACATGACAAGCTGCACTCCTGGAAGGGGGTCGACGGACCCCCTTCCCCTTGAACCCAAACGGTTAAGGAAAAGGGGTCTCGGGTTCTTAGTTAAGCACACATAACACTTGAAAGCGCTCCCTGCGCTTTCAGATTCACACTGGCCACAGTCCACTGCTTAGAACCCGATGAAGTCCTCGCATCTCCATGCACATGCACTGCCCTGTCGGTGGTCTGGGTCTGGTATACCTCCTGGGCCTCTCGGATCCACCGATAGGCCTCGGGCTCGTAGTTGAGGTCGTCATCCTCGTAGTCGTGCTTGAGACTACCCGTACAGTCCATCTCGTACAGGTCCAGTCCTGAAAAACAACATTCCACCGAATAGGCATAAGTAGGGTCGCCCTTCTTCTTCCCCATCTGTCGCTCTTGTTCCCGTCGGCGTAGCACGATGCTGTCCGCAGTGATACCGTACTCGCCCAACTCCAGGGCATGTCGAAGTAACGTACTCTCGCCCTTGCGCTTGGTGAGCGGGTCGGTCAGCTGACTTGTACATTCGATCCATCGTAGATGAACTTGAGGTCGCTGCATCGCTGAGCGCACGATGGCCACGTCGATTGCTGCCCTCTTGTCCTCCGCCAGTCCTGCCTTCGGATTGGTAACGTGATCGTAGCCGCCTCTGGAGTCGGTCACACTGATGACGGGGAAACGACCAGCGAGTAGGTTGGGACGCATCAGATCGAACTCGGAGTCGACGATCTCCAGCAGCATGGTCCTGATGAACTCCGCCATAGCCGTGCCCTCCGATGTGGCCAGCGTCTCCGCACCAAACTGGTGAGCACATTTCCTCTTCAATGTGTGACTCTTCCAGGATTGGATGGAGATGGTGGCCGCTTCGCCCTTCAAGATCTTACGCTGCGTCGCGAACACGATATATCCTGCTTGTGAGGCTCTATCCCGTGCACTGGCCCAGGCCGCGTCATTGAAGGCAGCGAAGGCCAGCTCGTGAAAAGGTATGTGTCGTACGTTGAGTGTTACGTCACAAAACTCCTTGGTCATGCGGCCGATACGATTTGCTTCCAGCAAGTCGTCCACAGTGAGATTCGGCATTTTTCCCTGCAAGAGAGAGACGGGACCCGAAAGGTCGGGGCGACTCTCCCGCGCCAGGAAGGAGATGCAGCCGCACAGGCTCCGTGCCTGATGCAGCTCTGCTGGCGCCATTGGTGACTGAGGCGTCTTACGTCTCTCTGTGGCGATGTCGATAAGCAGAATATTGACGGAGCTCTGGCGTTGAGAGATGGTAATCTCCGTGTTGTCGTCGTTCTGGTCGAGCTCTTTGCCTGTGTACTTCCCCTTCTTGAGACGCCAGGCCCCAAAGGGGAATTTCTGACGCAACTTCTTGCAGGCCTCATCGAACTTCTGGTCGCCACCGCCCGCGATGTCGTCCACCGTAAGGCCCATGACGCCGTGCAAGCCCTCTTCGTCCCTGAGGTAGAAGACGCAGCCGTCAAAGATGGAGCACTGAAAACCGATTTCGTTGGCATAACTTGTGAAAGAGGCCAGCCACTGGACGGGAGCGTCTCCGAGTCCATATGCTGCCTTGAGTAACTCCACCAACGAGCCCGTTTCCACGTCTGGTATGCCCGTCCGCGGTAGTTCCACAAAAAGCCTGCCCTGAGACCTGTCCAGTGGGTCTCCTGCTGCGAAGGCCGACGTGATGTCTGCAAGCTGCAGCATCCACTTATTGGTGCACAAGATCTGTCGGATGAGGAAAACCGAATCCTTACCCACGACTGGGCTGTAGGTCTCCAGCTCCAGCAGGTCAGGGTCGGTGTGTCCCTGGACGGTCCATGGCGCCTTGGCCATCCTCCAGTCGTTGCCACTCATGAAGAGCAAGGGCTTCTTGCTCGCGTCGGTCTCGTTGGGGTCGCCGTCCTTGTCCGTAAGTACCCACCTGGAGCCCATGATCCGAGTGGTCAATGCAGGATCCTGTCGAATTCGTTCTGCCTCTTCTGGAGGGAGAACCCGTACTGCACCCGCCTTCTGTATGTTGCCCCACTCCCTGCGCTTGGCTGAGATGTACGGCTGGTGCTTGTAGGTGTTCACAAGAGACTTCTCCGTGACCTCCTTGCGTCCTCGTTGAGCTGCACTAGTCAACAGAGCGCTGGTGACGCCCTGAGCTTTTCCCTTCCTCTTTTTCTTGGGAGGAGCCTGCTGGTCCTTCTGAATCTTCTCCTCGATGGTCGCGATACGTTGTGCCACCGGTATCGCCGCGTCAGGGTTAACTAGAGTCGAGCCTGCTTGATGGTGATCGGTACATCGTCGAGGTGATCATAGTATTGCGTTTCCATGGGGGCGGGATTTGACTTCGCATCGGAGGAGTGCTCGATCTCCACCGTCGGTGGCTCCAGGGAGGCCGCTGGTTGATCATCCCCTACGGGCTCTGGAGGTGCTGTCTGAGGTACGTCGTCCTGGTCCTCCTCAGCTGGTGAGGCCTGCTTGGTCAGGTCCTCGTACTTGCGCCTTCCGCGGTTCTCGGTGCTCACCTCCTCCTTCATCGTGTGGTCGATCTGCTCCCAGGCGGATGTCTCCCCCTCATTGGCGTGTCGAAGCTGTTCTGGTGAGCATTTCAGTAGTCCACCCTGGTACGAGCACCACGCCGTGCTTGGCAGCTCAGTCTGGATGACTCTGGCTGGGCCATGCCAGGAGCTCACGGGGAGTTTGTCCGTACTACTCCTCCAGAAATAGCAGCGATCTCCAGGCTGAAAAGTAGTGCCCCTCGGCGGTCGAGTCCTTCTATTGAGAGCTCGTCGCCACTTCTCGGAGCACTCCGCCTCGATGTACGCTGCCGTGGCTGCCTTGCGCATGTCAATGCTCCTGGCAAGCTCAGTGCCCCCAGTCATGGCTCGAGATGCCGTCGCCAAACTCGGCGAGCCCTCCTCCAAGTTTTTTTCTGGTAGTTGAAAGGGTCTCCCAAAAACTCTCTGATAAGGCGTGACACCCCCACGTCGCACACTTTCTCCAATCGCCAAGTTGACTCAGTCGACCAGCTCGTAGAAGTCGTCCCAGTTCTTGGTGTTGAACTTCTGCCTTGTGTGGTAGAAGGTCTCCTTCCAGGTCCCCCCAGCCCTCTCAGTCTTGCCTGCCTGCCCTGGCGAAGTAGCGCTCGTCACCTTCACCTCGGTGACGTCTCCTTCAGCTGCGTCTGGAAACTCGCCTGTTGAAAAACCTTTCTCGCCGTCTATCACGATGATCCTGGGAGTGCCGTACACCCGCTTCCAGAAAGCACGATAATGTCGTCTGATTTGCTGACCTTGTCTGCTCGGTAGCGGTACCGCGACTTGGTGCCCCGTCCCGTGACACACGATGTTGAGCATCGGTACTTTGGTGGTGTTCTCGGGACCTAGAACGAAGAAGACGTCCATGCCGATGACGTCGTTGAACTGGTAGGTTGTGGGAGCCTTGGACGGTTTGGCCAGCCTGGGACGCTCGTTTGCCTCACAGCTTGGACAGACCAGATGCTGCGCGGCCTCGATAAAGACCTGGCGAGCCTTGCCGTACTTCAAAACCATCACCAGATTCTCGTTACTGCAGTGACCCATGTTCTCGTGTATCTTCTGTACCTGCTGCTTGACATGAGGAGCCGCGCTTCTCTCGTCCTTGTTGTTGGAGACGGGCGCTGTACAACAAGACACACACTGCGAGCTTGAATTTTCTTCGTCCGTCTTCGTCTCGACGGTCGCCAGCTCGCTCATCTCGGCCTTCACGATGGCTCGTGCCAGAGCTTCAGTAAGCCCCTGCAGGGGCATCGGCACGTCCCCCAGCTTGTTCTGCAGAGAGCCCTGCACGAACTCCTGACTCAGCATCTTCCCGTACTCTGATGCCTGGCCAGGTAGGTTGGTCAAACAGGCCCGTCCTCGTGCGTTAGCTTTCCCCGAGAAGACCTCGGGAAGTCGCCTCAGCTTCTGGATGAGTGGGTCGCCCCATTCTCGAGAGCTCTCCTCCTGCTCGTAGTAGAAGTACCTGCCGTTAATCGCCTGCTGGATCGCCATGTCCGACATGAAGGTCGTCACGTCCCTGCCGATCTTCTCCTTGAGCTTCTTGTTGTAGATGTCCTTGGGCGGCTTGATGATCACGAGTAGGGGACTCGCACTCTTGATCATGTTCCACGCCTCTTTCTGCCCACTCCTCACTAGTAAGTGATGTCCTGCCACGACCATCACGTGCTTCTGCTCTGTAGTTTCGTGTAGGGGAACCCCGCCAGTCTCCATCATATCGTCGTCATCGTGAACCTGCTCCTCTAGCTGGCCGAGGAAAGCGGTGCGCTCTGGAATCGCGTCCTCCATGGCCTCCCTCATTTTGTCCGTTTTGCCTAACTCCTTGAGCGCCTTGCTGATATTCCGCTTTTCCTTCTCGGTCAGCTCGTCTACTGGTCGCTGATGTCCGCCCCGAGGTGGCCGCGCAGGTTCTCCACCAGCTGGTTGGTCGTTGCGTTGGCGTTCTCGTCCTGCAGCAGCTCGTTCAAGGCGATCAGAGCCTTGCTCCGAGGTGACTGGTCCTGCACTTCCTCGTCCGGCGGCTCCCACTCCTCCTGCTCGGCCGTCTCCGTCAGACCCTCGATCTGCTCCTCCGGCTCTGCAGTTGGACCTCCAGACTGCCTCGAGGTCGATCTGGCTCCCGATCGCGGTCTCATCTTGGCCCTCGGCGCGCTGCTGCGTGTCGAAGGCCCTTGTGGAGTTTCCGACGAGGTCCATGCTTTCGGTGCTCGAGGTTGCCAACCCTTGATCTCCGCCTCCAGCATCTTATACTCCTCGAGCTGCTCGCAGATCTCCTTCATGTTGGGAGCTCCCTTGGGGTAGAACTCCACGTGTAGCCTGCATCCGCTGCACTGGCTCCAGAACGCTCTCGCATTCCCGCCGTGGTGAGTGAACTCGTGAAGGCAGGAATGCTCCTTCTTCGGGTCGTGATCTCTGGCCCTCGTGCGACAGCTGGGGTCCGAGGTCCTTGGTTCTCCACACCGTAGTACCGACACATCATCACTCCTGTGGGCGGTCGGCTCTCCGAGCTGACCTCGTGCCAGGGCCAATTGAACTTCGGCGCCGTCGTCTTGGTCTGGCTCTTGTTGGCGTCTGCCTGCCGCTCCCTCAGAGGCGACACCTTCTGCTGCATGAAAGAGGACGAGTGCTGCGAGCGCTCGTCGCATGACATGGAAATATGGAAGTAAATCCGAAGACGTTCTGCGAGTTCGGCTCGAGCCTAACTGCTGACGGAACTGGGCGATGTTGAATAACATGTGCTTGTTGTTGATGTTGTTCTCGTCATTTATGCTGTTCTCGGACCTGCTGTTGATGCTGCTCACGGCGTTTATGTTGTTCACGTGCTTGCTGTTGGTGCTGTTCCAGTGCTTGTTACTGTCGATTATCTGCTTGTTAACTTGAACCTTCTGTTTATGCCTTCCTCCTGATAATCCTCCTTTTTGCAGTAGTCTTGCTATTTGTGCTGCTTTTTGTCTGGCGTTCTCTGCTGTCCTCCTGCTTTCTGCCTGTTGTTTTGTTCCAACTCCAACAATTGAAAACATACAGCCTCTTTCCTACTGGTCCTCACTGTCGTTTAAGAGGTCCTCGGAGATGAGGAAGGTGGAGGGATGCTTATACTCAGTCCTGGAACTTGAATCCATAGAAACCTCCTTTGTGCACAGTGTCCAGCCTTCAGGCTTGCTCCACGGTCTCGTGCAGTTATCCAGCTGCAGCAAAAAGTGCCCCCCTCCAGCGTGTGCCAAGGGGAGTCGCAGGCTCTACTCAGGCAGATCCAGCTCCGACTGAAATGCATGGAGGGACGCCTTCAGCTCCACGACAAATGTCTTTTGACAACAAAAGTGCAGCCGCTCCCTGCACCAAGCACACAAAAAGGATGCCAACAACGTCGCCCAGCATGATCGGGATGATCACCCCGTCCGTTGCTGTGCAGATCTGGTCATTGCCGAACCTGTAATTCTTATGGTACGGGATCGTCTGCAGCGTGATGCCGTGCTCCTTCTTGTAGTGTGCCTCCCACTTCGCGTGGGTGTCCAGCCCCATCACCCATCATGTTGAAACCACAGGCCGTGTCGAGTGCCCCCCCAGCCTGGCTTGCCCGACGTCTTGATGTCGATCGCCAGGTTGATGTGCTCTACTAGGTTCGATATTGACGCCATCTTCGCCTCTGTCGCTATGTAGCTGCAGATCTCGTCGTCCTGCAGCACCGTCATCGCAATGAAACCTCCCGTCGGCTTGTTCTTATTCTTCGGGTTGTCGGGGCACTCTCGATGCCAGTGCCCAACCTTCTTACATATGCCGCACTTCGTGCGCTTCTTGATGTCCTCTATGTTGTCGTTTAGCTTCTTGCCGTCCTGCAGGTTGCGGAACCCCCGATTGGTCTTCTTGTCCGCCACGATCCTCCGAGCTTCGCCCCACGTCCGCGGCTTCGTCGGTGGTGGGACGATGGCCGCGAGGCAGTCGAGCGCCTCGACCTCCGTGAGGATCCGTTCTCCATCGTCAGCTGGTTCTTGTCCGTCGGGTATTCCGTCGTCGTCGATCCCGAGCAGGTTGGCCATCGCGTCGTACACAGCGCTCTCGGCTTCGCCATCCTCGGACATCAGGGGCTCGTCCTCGTCAATTCCCGCCAAGTATGCCCCTTTTGTCGGTGCACTCTTCTCGGTGACCGTGCTGTCGTCCGTCATCCGCTTCAGAATCGAGACCAGCTTGTTGACGTTGTAGTCGTAGCCCGTCTGGATGAGAACCTGGTTCCTTTCCGTCTTGGCCAGACCCGCTCCTCTCAATAGCAAGAAACCCATGACCGTGTCGTTCAGTGCGTTGGGGAGTAGCCGTTCTAATTCTGTCTGCTCTGCTCGTACTCGATTGGTGAACTTCATCAGCGTCTCTTCTCTCGCCCTAGGAGCCGCGAAGAGAGTCGTTTCCAGCTGCTGGACGGTCTCCGCGTCTGCCTCTGGGAACGCCAGCGTGTCCAGTGCCAAAATGACTGCTTGTAGACCACCTGCGTACTGTACCGAACCTGGTCGTAGGTGTCGTGTCGCAGTCGCCGCCTCCTTGGTCAAGTGCAGCAGCAGGGTCTCGCCCTGCTCCTCAGGCGACACTGCCGTCAATCTGCTCCATCTGTCTATGGCCAGCCGCTTCTCTGGCCACTCGCTGAGGTCCTTTCCATCACAGGTCGGGCAAGGTGGGTCTTTTCCTTTTCGGCCTCCACTTCGCTGGTCGTGTTGCTCGCACTTCCCGCCCGACTCGAGTCTTCCGTGCACCTCTGCCATCATCTTCTTCACCTGCTCTGGTGTGCCGAACCCTCTCGACTGCACTGACCTCTCTGAGTCCGTCTCGGAGCCGCCTGAGCAGCCCTTACCTTTCAACTCGTACTTGCCTGCCGAACCCCCCGGGTCGTCGTCCTCGCTTGGCCACCTCCAAGCACCCCAGTTGGACATCTGACTCCATGTTCGATCCCAGGATACTGAGTTGTCGTTCCACGTCTTCCAGGGGTCCCAGGTGTCGCCCTTCATGCTGTCGTGCTGTCCGCTTCGCTGCCCTCTCGTTCTCGACTGTGCCCATCTCAGCTTCTCCCCATCGCCCTCATCATTCTCCTTAGGTCCGTCTTCGACACGTTCCCACGTAATACCATCACGATTGCTGTCGTAGCCGTCGCTCCGCTTACCACATGTGGATGGTTCCCAAGACATCGTAGGTCGCCAAGATATTTGAAACAATCTGAAATACTCTGAACGAGAGGGAAAGATAGCTGACACTTTTTCAGTACATGACAAGCTGCACTCCTGGAAGGGGGTCGACGGACCCCCTTCCCCTTGAACCCAAACGGTTAAGGAAAAGGGGTCTCGGGTTCTTAGTTACGCACACATAGCACTTGAAAGTTCTCCCTGCGCTTTCAGATTCACATGTTCAGAGAAATGGGAAGGGGCCAGCCTGCAGGTTTGGTTGACAGCACATCGTTGAGTTGCAAGAGCATCAGCCAGACAAGTCGGGGTTGCACCCGCATGCCTTGCTGGACTCTGGGCGTCGGCGCTGCCACTGCTGCCGTCACCCCCTCGTCAGGGCCACCGATTCGGAGATGAGGGAAAGATGATGAGGGGCGAGACGGCCTTCCCCCCGTACTAGATGCAACGGCGCGCTCATGCGAGAGCAGACGCTGCGGAGGGCGATGGTGAGGAGGACGGGGGCAAGGAGCAGAAGGAGGAGGAGGACGAGGAGGAGGGGCAGGAGGAGGAGGAGGACGAGGACGATAAGGACGAGGACGAGGACGAGGACATGGACGAGGACGAGGAGGAGGGCGAAGACGAGGAGGATGAGGACGAGGAGGAAGAGGACGATGACGAGGACGAGGAGGACAGGGACAAGGAGTGAGAGGAGGAGGAGGAGGACGAGGACGAGGACGAGGACGAGGAGGGGCAGGTACTCATCGACCGGTCCGACGAGCTGCAGGCGCAGTCCACGCTGGACGCGGTGATCAGCCTGGGCGCGCCCGTCGGGGAGGGCGTCGGGCCCATCGGCCTGCCCGCTTCCGTCCCCGTCCCCTTGTTTTACTCTTTCCTCCCGTCTCCCCCCCATCCTCCTCGGAGAATGCGTGCTGCGCGGCGCGCAGCGTGCTCTCTCTCGCGCGCGCCGCCCCCTATCACTGGCGCTGGCGGCGCCGTCGTTTCCGACGCGTTCGAAAGGCAGGCGCACTGCTCCGCCCCCCGACGACTCAGATTAAGTCGTGTCCATTCGTTCAGCTTTCGATCGGACTGCTGTCCCTTCATGGTGCTTCTGGTACTCCCCCCCGTCCTCGTCTCGTTTAGGCTTAAGTCGGGCCTGTCCCCCTACAGGCGGATTTTGGACGAAACATCAAAAAGAGTAAACAACATACACCAAACATCCAGAAACGTAGTCCCCAAATCGTCCCCAGACTTTTTTTGTTTTTTCTCCTATTTTTGAATCTTCCCCGTGTAGAGGGACAGGCCCGACTTACGTTTAGGCCTCTCCCACATCGGCGATGTGGCTCGATGTGGAGATTCTCTCCACGCCGACGTTGCCGATGCGTCGCCGACGTGGCCGATGTGTTGCCGATGCATCGTCGATGCGGCTCGATCCTCCGATGCCATCTGCTCGGACCGGACCCCATCTAGGAGGCCTCGAATCGAGGCCTCCCCCTCCTGCCTGCTAGTCGTCTGGAGGTCAGGCGCAGACAGGAGGCGAAGCTCGCAGCCACCCGTGCTGTGGACCTGCAGCGCCGAGCGCTCTGGCAGGGCGCCTTCTCCTTCGCCATTCATTTCGAGGCGCACCTTGCCATTCCTCTTTCTCTGCTTCCTCGGAGACTACGGGGACAACCCAGGCACGAGTGGGCGAAATGTCTATACGAGAAAATGGCCCGACGGTTTGTTTCAGAAGTCTCCATGCGATACCGCATCGGCGACGAACGCAGCTGGCGCCGTTTCCCTACGAGTTGCGTCCCCCATGCTCAAATCTAGAGTTCGTCCGTGCCAGCAGCAAGCAAGGCTGGCTGCTACATTTCGCGTGCACGCTGGGAACGTTTGGCTCCTCTGTCTTGCCTTGAGGTAAGCAGGCAGCCCAACCAGGTCAGATCCCGGACAATCGTCGCAATGTCGCGTCTTGCCTGCCTCTTCGCCCTCGTGGGTCGAGAGTCGAGGCCGTCGTATGTTCCAAAAGGCGGCCGCTTCCCAGGGACCAGTTTTTCGTTCCGCGTCGTTCTTGGGCGTCCCCGAGGCCGAAGGAGAATAAGAAGAAGAAGAAGAAGAAGAAGAAGAAGAAGACGAATAATAACAAGAAGATGCCGTGCACGTCAGAGGTGCATGGGCAGGAAAAGTGGCGCCAGCATGACCGCCGCCGAATGCAGTAAGACAGTGCGACAGACAAAGCTCTCTCGGTACCCCTGTCCCCATGGGCAGGGACCGTCTAAAAACTCGAAAATGCCCGCAGGTGGACGACCCGGGAGAGCAACGGCAGCAGGAGGCAGAGGAGGGAACGACACCTGGGGCCGGGACGAACCAAGAGCCGGGGGAGGGAGGAGAGCGACCGACAGGGGACGACGGCCGCGAGGAGGGGAGGAGGACGAAGACCCGGCCCGGCGACAGCCCGGGGGACAAGCAGGAGAGAAAGCAGGCAGAGGAACGACGCAGGACGGCGGAAGAGGAGGGGGTGACGACACCACCGATTCGTTCCGACGACACCGAGCGTGACGAGCCGCTTCGATTCGTTCGATACGTTGGATCTCTGGGTTTTCTGGCCCCAGCCAGGAGGGCCTTTCTTGGGGTGGGGGCAGCGGTGGGTGGGCGGGGACGGTGCTTCCCGGTCGGGGAGGCCTGAGGCCACGATGGCGCGATGGACCGTTGTGGCCCTCGCGGAGAACTTCGGAGGAGGAAAGAAATACACATACCGCGACACGGGGGTCGTTGAAAGTATGTATTTCTTGATTCCCATATCCTTCTCCATGCGAGGTTCCTTGCGACTTGCATTTTTACTTTTCCTTCCTCATCAGAGGGGCGGGCGTAAGTCCAATCTATTTCCAACGCTTCATGTTTCTACCCACTTCTTCCGACCGACGGGTACCCATATCGCTACCCTTCTCTCCCTTTCGATGTTTTGGCCTCCGGGGAACCCTTCGTTGCCACCGCTGGGTTCGCCTCGAGATTCTGGCCAGAATGCCCCCCAGGAGGGGTTTGGGGAGTAGCGGTACCGAAAATTTGGTGGCCTTCCCATATGGGCCGTGGTGACCTTCGCGGAGAATTTGCCATCGCAGCCCCCTGTGCATTTTTCTCGGTGAGGCGAGCGCCAGAGCATCCGCACCATTTTGGGAGCACCTTGACAAGCAACCGACACGCACGATACCAAACCATGCACGGGGAATGAACGTCCGAGCGACGGCACGTGGATGGGTCTGCGTGCGAAGCACGGTGGGCAGGGGCCACGATCGCGCGCCAGGCCGTGCGTGACCCTCGCGGCGTAGCCCTCGCGGGTCGCGAGCAAATCACGACAGGAGGGTTTGGGCCAATGTCGGCCTCATGGGGCCCGCGCTGGCCGCCTCTGCTGGACGTGTTCGGCGGGATCGTCTCTTCTGAGGGGGCTTTGCGTTCGTGGATCGGCGGCGAACGAGGGGGGAAGTGAGAAGCAGGCCTTCTCCTTCTCTTTGCCCCCCCAGGCTTGCCGCCGAGCGAAGGGAGTTTTCCCTGGGGGTTCCTCCTGGACGCCGCCGCCCCCGCCCATCCCCCCTCTGTTTTTTGGGCGCAGGCGCGGGGCGGCTTGCAGTTTCGATGGCCAGCTGTCCGCGCCAGGCGAGGTTAGGCTTCGCATGCCCGCCCCATCGTGGAGTTCATCGGCCCCGCGCTGCCGAGGTTTCCCCCCCCTTGCGTCCTCCGACGCGCGGGGGCGAGAGGCAACCCGTGCCGTGCCGAAGCGCACTACTTCGAGCAGCCCTGTGAAGCTCAGGAGCTGGGCCCTCGCCCAGGGCACAGAGCCGTGCCGAAGCGCAGTCCTTTTAGCACCCCTGTTCGCCCAGGAACTGGGCCTTCGTTAGGGCGCAGTGCCGTGCCGAAACGCATTTCTCTTCCTTCCCTGGCGCCGCCAGTTGCCCCTAAGCGGTGCGAGCAAGCCCAGCAGTCTGGCCTGCTGATTGCAGTGGGCTGGCGCCCCGCTGCAGGCCTGCCCCTGCTGCTGGCATGCGCCCTGCTATCAACCCGCGCCCTGTGTTCGGCCCGCCGCGCCTTGCAGTCAGCCCGCGCCCTGCAGTCAGCCCGCGCCCTGCAGTCGGCCAGCGCCCTGCAGTCGGCGTGGGCCCTGGAGCCGTCTCAAGCCCTGCAGTCGGCCTGTGCCTTGCAGCCGGCCAGCGCCATTCAGTTGGCCCACGTCCTGCTGTCGGGTTGCGCCTTGCAGCGGCTTGCCCTCCACAGTGGGCGTGCGCCCTTTCAGCTGGCTCGCGTCTTGCAGTCGGCCTGCGCCCAGCCTTTGGCCTGCACCTTGCAGTTGCCCTGCTGTCAGCGCGCGCGTGCAATCGGCACTTGCCCTGCTGTCTGTCGGCCTGCGCCCTGCAGTCGGCCTGTGCCCTGCATTCGGCCTGTGCCCTTCCAGTCGGCCTCCGCTTTTCAGGCAACCTTGTGGCGCCTAGGACCTCTGCTTTCGTCAATGGGCAGTGCTCCCCGAACAGTCGCTACTGCTCCTTCGATCGGCTGCGCCTTGTCAGGATCAGTTGAGCGGAAGATCGGGACAAATCGGAACCAGAGATTCTGGGAGAGTTCCAGAGAAAAATATAACGCCGATTTGTGGAGCGTAGCGCGCGCATTCGCAGAAGTTCCCCAAGAGTGCTCGAGGGCTTGAGGAGCCCAAGTAACACATGGGCGCTCAATTAAACTATTGAGAGCGGGCAGAAAATCTGGTGTACACGAGCATTGTGAGCGGGTGCGCGGCTTGCACGGGGGGCACAGTAGGTTTGCGTTTCAGGGACTTGGGCGCTGGCCAAATCGCTGATGAGGGGCCCGAGAATGCGTCACACATATTACGCCTGTGGCGCCATGGAGGCCGCATTTGCGGTTGCAGTTGGGCGGGCGGCCCGCCGCGCGCACCGTGGCGACAGTTCTCTTGGGCGCCCGCCCGCCGCCGTGGACGTAGTGGACCCTGCCAGTCTCTCGGTCGGCGCACGGCGGGTCGGCAGCCACGACGCTGGCGGCCTGAAAATGCTTCGAAAGTGTTTCTCCCCGAGCCCGGGGCTATTGTACATTTTCGGTGGCACGCGCAGCTCGGAGAAAAATCGCCTTGTCCGTCGGCGGCCAGTTGGCTGTCGTCGCGCAGAAGTGCCGGCGGATGGCGCGGTCCACGCTCAGCGCAGAGAGCGTGTCCATGAGCGTGGACTCGTCGAGGGGCAGGAGGAAGGACCTCGCGGTCAGGACCATCGCGGCCCGCGATGTCCACGGCCCCCACCCTGGGCGCGCGAGGACCTGCTGGGCGCCGCCGCAGCGCGATTTCAGAGAATCTCGGAACCAGAAATCCGGGCGCGCCGAATTTCGCGGGCCGAAAAACTCTCAGAGAGTTTCGGCCAGCTCCGAGGTTCTGGGTTTATGGGAATCTTTCACGCGGGGTGGGTAGTTCAGAGATTTTCAGAGATTCTCAGAGAAGTTCGGACGCGAGAATTTGGCGCGCCCCGGTTTCTGGTTCCGTGAATCTCTGAAAAGCGGTTCCTTAGGTTTTACCGGGCCTCCAGGCGTCTTATTGTCAGCCAGAGACGAGCGACTGGCTGGCGCCGCGCCCGATGCTTCCCGAGTTGCGAACTCGGTCTTCGGTTCCCTGGGGCCCGCGGGCCCCTGGGCCAATCGCGAGGTTGCCGAGGCCCCCAGACGGTTGCGCGCGTTTGTCTCGGAAACCGGAGATGGGCATCCATGATGGACGCCCGCGCGCACGCGCTAGGTGTCCGCGAGATTGTTCGGTGGCGGATCTTGCATGGCGCGGGGACTTTCCAACGACTTTCCGGGG